TGATAAAGTAATCAGTGTGAAACCAATGCTATGTCTAGTTTCTCAGTCTGATCTCATTAGTTTTAATGCGACCACGCCCACGAGGCATTGTTATTACAAGCGTCTGAAGACACGTGGAGACTGTGGTCAGAAAAACACGTCATCAAAATGAAAAGAAACTCGGCAAATAGTCAACAAAGATGATGATTTCTGATATCTATATAAAGCTTAATATGTCTACTTTTGCATTAACCAATTCAAGTCGAAAACAAATGATCTCTGTTTATGTAATCCGTATGAAAGTAAGGATTCTCCTATATCGCCTCATTACAGCAGCGTGGTCACACCTCTCAGTAAGCGCGCTTCATATGTAAATCCAGATGTGAAAACAGCGGAGGTAAAGGACCAGTGGCAAAGAGAGCTAAAGTACACAAGAAGTACTCTGAGTTAGCTCAGTAATGAGAGTAATGTTGGTCTGTGTCATTCCGACAAACTAATAGATGAAGATGTAGCCTTCAACTTCACAAAATGTTTAAAACGCTACAAAAGTGGACCAAGTAATCTTGCGTCTGTCAGTCTCCACTGATGTCAAGAAGAAGGCCAGTTGTTACAGTAAAATACTGCCTATTTTCCTGCGCTGCTCCCAATCACAAGATACCTGTCTGCATGGCTACATTTCTAAGTGTCCTTTGTAAGTTTATTCTTTAAATAATTACTGTGAATACCGAATGAGAGGATGATCACTTGTGCCAAAAGATGCTGTGATGCGCGCGACTGTTTAAAAGATTTCATTATCGCACATGGTGTTGTTTTTCACCTGCTTTCTTTTGCTCAGTTATTTTTGTTAATATGGATTAATTATCATTCTTTAAAATAACATTGCTCTAATATGAGATTACCAAAACTAACTCAGAATCTTATTATTATAATTCAGACTTTGTATATACTATTCCATATATTATAATGTAATGTTTTTTAACCAATTTAAGATGTTTGACAATGTTAAGATAATATGTTGCATTTCAGCAGTTTTTTTTTTTTTTACTTATTTATAAACTATTTATAGACAAATTTAAATAAAAACTATCCTGGGTTTGAAGAATATTGTTTTCCTGGACTTCACTGAGCTCAAGTAATAGTTTAATATAAAAAATTGTGAATGAACTTGACTGTTCATGTCTTAAATAATAATGTCAAATAACCAACATTTCTCAAAATGGATAAATCTAATTTTGCAACAAAACTCTTCATTTCCAAAAAAAAAAAAAAATAAATGGGATGTCCCGATCCGATATTGATATCGGAAATTCGTCCAATATAAGTCCAAAAAACTATATCAGACTGCGTTAAAAATATAACGCAAATATTATATAAGATATAAGCAGTCCAATACTCTCTAAACTCCGTTACAGCTATTCTATCCAGCAGCGTCCAGAGCCAGCGTGCAAAGCCCACGCGATCACAACACTGCTTGCTAGCAAACTCTCTAAGGTTTAACATGCTCTGTACACTAAGTAAGTTATGGTGTATTACGATAGAAATCTATTGTGACTGTAGCACACGCTGACGCTAGCAACAACGGCACATCTCTAACATCACTGGTTTATTTACTTCACGTCATGCGATCTTTACATTGTTTTGCATAAGGCTGCTAAGTAACATAAGGCACAAAATGGCGATGTAGCACACATCGTGCGAGCCTCAATTCGGTCATGGCATATCGTGGTTCATCCATGGCATATCCAGTTTATACCTAATTCATCACCAGCGCTTCCCACACATAAGACTTTACCTCAGCGGCCCGGTTCTGTGTGCATGAGAAAAGTCTCCGCCACAGACTCGTGGGCTCTGCTGCTGCAGCAGACCCACAGAGACGCGCTGGACACCTACTCTGACTTTAGCTTTGAGAAGAGCGCGAGGACACGTGGGAAAAAAGCCTACAATACATTATCTTTTTCCCGGACATGTCCTCTATTTGGGACTTAAAAATTGCAGTCAGCCAAGATTTCTAAATCGCCGAACATGTCCCGGATTCTGCTTTCTTTAGCTGCGTTTCTACATTATTTTATACGCAAACCTTCAATCTCAATCTCTCAGCAGCACCAAGACTAGAGAGGGAGCAGATCTGACCTGTCAGTGGTGCACATGGATAGTAGGAGTGAAATAGTGGATTTATTATTCTTTGTTTTATTTTTTTACTTGAACACTCTGAAAGGAACAGTGTCATGTAAAATGCTAAACATTTTTGTTGTTTTCATTGTCTGTTAAGTAAGAATAAGAAATCATTATGTTGCTGAGGGCCATTACAGTTTAAAATAAAGAATGGTATTACTTTTGGGGCAGAAGGAAAATTTAATTAGAGACATTCCCATGTTTAACTCTTCTTTAAAAAGCCCAGAAAGATAAAGTGCTCTGATAAACAGTGTCAGCTTTGCACATCAGTTTGCAGTTCTCTTTATTTATATTGTCTAGTTTTCCCATGTGGGCAGTAGGGTGGAATCTGTGCAAATATAATGAATTTTGATAAATAAAATTATTCTTAAAAGTCACATTATTTCAAGTGCTGTGGAGAAAAGGTGTTTCAATCCAGCATCTGCAAGTATTTTTATGTTAAATATAATATGTGCAATATATATTATTATAAAATTAATAATGTTTGGGAACATTGATACAGCCATAATCTTCTTATGATACAAACAGATGAAATAGCTCTGATCATGTAAATGTTTGTACTAACCATACTGCACATTTTTAACTTAACAATAACTTATTTCTGCTGCCCAGTGTGAAAGATATTTTTAGCTCTACTGGATCCAAAATTTATCAAAAATCTGTGTGTGAAATTGAAATTTTGGACACTAAACCGTTAGCAGTTGTTCCATTAACAATTTTTTGTCAGCTCTCAGCAGTTTCTATTATTTGCTGATGGTAAAAAAATGAACTGAAGTGACCTTTAATTAGCATTTTGCACTTTAAAAATGTATTTTTGTTTATTCAATTAAGATATTTTTCAGGGTCTTAATATTTATTCTTTAATTCTTTTTATATATTCTTATGTAAAAGTTTCACATTTATGCAACCAATAGTTAATAAACTGGTTGTTTTTTCCATACTTACTGTTGCTGACTTCTTCTCAGTTTGATCTAGCCGTTCATACATTTGACTCAACAAAATAGATAAAAATAACGTATTCATAATTTGTGCTGATATCGGATTTATATCGTTATCGGACTGATAGCTGCAATATCGGTATCGTATTGGAAGTTAAAATGTTGTATCGGGACATCCCTAGTAGATTTGCTATGTGTAAATTTAAAAGTTTGCAGAGTTTTATAGAGTGTATTGATTCTCACAAGTGTATCTCCAGTTATTTTGTGTGATTTAATATATTTTAAATAAACTGCAAACAAAAAAATATATAAACTTTCCTCTGATTCCTTCTTGAAACTCTTCCTTCCTAGTCACATACCTGTCTGATGGCTCATTATGCAGCTCATTATGCAGGTCTTTGTCTTCAGGTGTGACTCACTGCATAATAAATGATAGTTCACGCATAAACCAATAAACCAATTTCACTCAAAAAGTGACTTAGAAATTTTAAATCATTATATTGTTTTCTGTGAGCAAGTGAACAAGATGATTCTCACATCAGTTTGAAGCAAAAACACTACCAGACTACCAGATCCAGTTCTCAAAAGTCTTGTGCACAAATGTTCTCTGTGTGTTTCACGGCCTTGTTTCAGTGACTTAAAAATTTTAGTTTTTCACTAACCACTAGGGATGTAACAATATTGTAAATACCGTCATACCGCAATAGTAATTTTTTTCAATATTACCGTAGGTGCATGAAGTTTGCTTAGGCGAATGAAGCGAACGGGAGGTAGCAGGAACTACAATTTCCATCAGCCTAGGCGTGGCCATCATCCTTTGCGGTCTGTTGTCACTACAGATCCAGTAATGCTGAAATGGAGTGTGCTGCTAGTAGCGGGGAAGAAAAAGAGCTGGAAATGATCGAACCTAAAGTGGGTTTTAAATCGGACGTGTGGAAGCATATCGGTTTCTTTCTAAAAAGATACGAAAAGGAGAAAAGGTGACAGACAAAGAAAAAAACAGTATGCAGGCACTGCCAGACTGTGGTAAAATATAAGTCGGGGAATACGACTAAAAACAGTCATGGGGACTGCAGAACACAGCACACTTGTTAGATAAATGCAGACATTGACTTGTACCGCAAAGAGACCTCTATCTCACACATGGCTTGTCCTCTTAAGTGGTGGAAAGACAAAGCACAACGTTACCCACTGCTGTCAACCTTGGTTAAATCATATCTCTATAGAGGTTTTTTTTTTTCTGTTGCAGGGGACATTGTAAATACCCAGAGATCCCAGCTTTTACCAGATTATAGTTAAATGATAATTTTCCTTAAAAACCCATCTCTATCTAAGTGAGTGAGTGATTAAATGTTGAATGTGAAGATTTTTTAACAATACTAAATTGAAACTTTATTTTTTTATATACGGTTTAATAGTTTTTTGTTATTAAAATTGAAAAATTTAAGTTCCTGTTTCGAAACTTACAGATAGATGGCTAATTTGTATGTCATTGATATGTACAGTGCTAAGGTAAATAAACACTTTTGGCACTTTTTTCGAGTCTTTTTATTAGTTTTGTTTTTTCCTGTAAATTATTCAATAAATATCGTACCGTGAAATTCTGATACCGTTACATCCCTAATAACCACGCATAAACGTTTCTTTCTCAAAAACACAAACACATACAAACATGCTGCTTAGGTATTATTGTAGCCCAACTTGTGCTATTTACAGTGTTATCACACTTTAGCCATTAATATGTTTTTAAGGCACTGAAAACAACACAAATGTCAGTGCAAGTCAAAACTTCTCCAGAGCCCCAAAACACCTTCAGACCCCAGAGGGTTAAAGCAGGGCAGTGATTCACTAAACTGATCTGAGTCTTCAGTGCAGACTGATGTGTGTCTTCTGTGATCAATGAATGAATACTCACAGAGCTCTTCTGCAGTTTCTCACAGCTGCTATCAGTCTCCGTCTTCCCTCATCTGATGTGTTGAATTTATTAGAGTCTAACTCATCCAGCGGCTCCTCTGACATCTCAATCATGTAGGAGATTGTTGAGCAGTGAGCAGGAGAGAGTTTCTCCTCTGAGTGTTTGTCTGATTTTACAAACTCCTGAATCTCTCTGGCCAGAGTCTGATCTTTCACCTCCAGCAGACAGAGGAACAGATTGATGGATCTTTCAGCTGAGAGAGGGTCATCTCTCTTGATCTTGTCTTTAATGTACTGTGTGGTTCTCCTGATGCTCTCGGAGCTCTTCTCTGTGTGTGTCAGCAGATCCTGAAAGAGTCTCTGATTGGACTCTAGTGAGACGCCCAGCAGGAACCGCAGGAACAGATCCAGATGACCATTACTACTCCTGACAGCTTTATATACTGCTGAACTGAGCAGATCATACAGAGGCTTCTCAGAGCTGGACTGTAGATGTTGATCATATGAATATCCTAAAATCACCCTCAGCGGTACTCTGTTCTCTGTTAAATGGCAGTAAAACACAAAGAAAGCAGCCAGAAACTCCTGAAAGCTGAGATGGATGAAGCTGTAGACTTTCCTCTGATGAATCACAGATTCCTCCTTGAAGATCTCAGTGCAGATCCCAGAATACACTGAGGCGTCAGTGACGTCTACGCCGCTCTCAATCAGGTCCTCCTCATAGAACATCACATTGCCCTTCATCAGCTGTCTGAAAGCCACTTCAGCAAGTTTGAGGATCACTCCTCTGTTGGACTGCAGGAGTTTCTCTGGATCTCTCTCTTCATACTTCTGCTTCCTCATGTTGATCTGAATCAGCAAGAAGTGGATGTACATCTCAGTCAGAGTTTGAGGAATTTCTGCACTCACATCTTCTTCCAGGAGTTTCTGAAGCACAGTGGAGGAGATCCAGCAGAAGACGGGTATGTGGCACATGATCTGCAGGCTTCTTGCTCTTCTGATGTGGGAGATGATTCTGCTGGCTTGATGCTCGTCGCTGATTCTCTTCCTGAAATATTCCTCCTTCTGAGGCTCAGTGAATCCCTGAATCTCTGTCAGACGGCTGATGTATCTGGAGGGGATCAGATGGGCTGCTGCTGGTCTGGAGGTGATCCAGATGAGAGCAGATGGAAGGAGATCTCCTTTCAGAAGGCTCCACATCAAAACAGCCACTGATGAAGTTTCAGTCACAGCACAAACTTTCTCCTCATCTGAAAAGTTGAGTGTGATTCTGCTTTCATCCAGACCATCAAAGATGAACACAACTCTACACTGCTCATAAATCTTGGGCTCCAGATCTTCAAGTTCAGGATGAAAGTCCAGCAGAAGGCTGTGAAGACTGTACTGATGATCTCTGATCAAGTTCAGCTCTCGAAATGGAAGCACAAACATGAAATCTACATCCTGATGGTCTTTTCCCTCGGCCCAGTCCAGAATGAACTTCTGCACAGAGACGGTTTTTCCGATTCCAGCGATGCCTTTAGTGAGAACAGTCTTGATCTGGGCTTTCTCCTTCTTGATCTTCTCCTCATGTCCTGCTCCAGCTGAGGCTTTAAAGATGTCATTGCAGTAGACTGGAGTGTGTTGTGAGGGTTTTGTTCTGGCTCTTTTCTCCATATGTAAAACCTCATGTTCTTCATTCACTCCTTCACTCTCTCCTTCTATGATGTAGAGCTGTGTGTAGATCCTGTTCAGGAGGGTTTGAGTCTCTCCATGGTTGATTCCCTCAAATATTCTCTCATACTTGTTCTTCATGCTGGTTTTGTGCTGCTCTTTGACTCTCTGAAGTTCATCATGTTCTGGTTGAAGTGAATCCTGCTGCAGGTCTCCAGTCTGATCATCTCTATCCACACTGCAGTAACAACAACAACACAAAGAATCAATAAGTGTGAGTGTAAGGGTGCTTTCACACCTGTAAAATTCAGTTGTCCCGAAACAGAGATTACAATTGTTAAATTGCTGCTCTTTGCTCTTGGCGCGGTTCGCTTTCACACTGCAAAGTTTCTAATCGGACCAAAAGAGCTAAAACAAGTCACGTGCGAGTAAACTCTCCTTACATTGGTTGGTCAGAGTGTCAGGGTTTATTTTGCAGCGTCCCGCTAAGCTGTTAGGAGAGGTGGTGGTTTGGTGGTTATTGACAGGATGCGCACGCGCGACATGTCTGAAGAGAGACGCGGTGGGGAGGGGTGAGAAGGGTGCGCGACGATGCCTATTTGAGGACTGGGAGGGAGACGCAAGATTACCGGGAGATCATCACTCGTATGCGGGCATCTGGAGACTCGCGAAACTTCCCACCATACTCATAATTCTCTCTTCATATAGCCGTAAGCCTATTACATATCCAAAAAACACTGTGATATAACCACGCTCGGATCGGATCGATTTCTCACTGCAATCGAACCGCTCCAGGGTTCGTTTCAATCGAGCCGAGACCACCTCATTCAAGCGATCTCGGAGCAATTACTTTGGCGCGTAACAGAGCGCGATTGCCCTGTTCACATATGCCAAACGAACCGCGCTAACTGGGCAAACGAGATACGTTCCGAAACAAAAGTGTAGGTGTGAAAGCACCCTAAAGATTCTCTAGTAAAGCCATGTGTGTTTTCACTGAAACAACAGAGGCACAATACACAGATTTAATCCAGAACCAAACTACAGTAATACAGAAACTGTCCCAGATCAGCAAGAACCGGCTTCAGTCTTCAAATCATTCTCATAGCTCTGTTGTGAAGCACTTAAAACACAACACACTGATCACTTTAAACACCACACACTGATCACTTTAAACACCACACACTGATCACTTTAAACACCACACACTGATCACTTTAAACACCACACACTGATCACTTTAAACACCACACACTGATCACACTGATCACTGTAAACACCACACTCTGATCACACTGATCACTTTAAACACCACACACTGATCACTTTAAACACCACACACTGATCACTTTAAACACCACACACTGATCACTGTAAACACCACACACTGATCACTTTAAACACCACACACTGATTACTTTAAACACCACACACACTGATTACTTTAAACAGCACACACTGATCACTTTAAACACCACACACACTGATCACTTTAAACACCACACACTGATCACTTTAAAAACCACACACGCTGATCATGTTAACATCATACATTGATCACATTAAACACAACACACTGATCACTTTAAACACCACACACACTGATTACTTTAAACACCACACACTGATCACTTTAAACACCACACACACTGATCACTTTAAACACCACACACTGATCACTTTAAACACCACACACTGATCACTTTAAACACCACACACTGATCACTTTAAACACCACACACTGATCATTTTAAACACCACACACACTGATCACGTTAACATCATACACTGATCTCATTAAACACCACACATTGATCACTTTAAACACCACACACTGGTCACTTTAAACAACACACACACACTGATTAGCTGCTGTAGTGTGTAATGTGGTAATGCGGTTTCTTTTACTGAATAATTTTCTGTTGTCATGTTCCTCTGAATCCTGTATTCTGCTGTCTGTAGTCATGAGGGTTGTTGTGATCTTATAGTTGTTAAATGTTTTACCATTAATAAGATAATGATTCTCTGTCATCTCTGCTGTCTTAATCTTTCTGACTGAATATAGTTTTTGATTCACATGATAATCTCCAGATCATACAAGCATCTTAGGGTTCAGGATTTCAGTAACAGCGCTGTAACATTGATGCACTTTATTAAGACAATAATAAAGAGAAGATCTGAATACAGTTTCATCCTAAATCAATATCTCTCTTGCCCATAATTATTTATCAGGTGAAATGTGGCAGGGCTTGACAATAAGGGCTGCCCGAAGGCCCGGGGCCAGCATGCGAGACGCTCTGGACAATATACATAATAGTTACTGGCCCGATCGGGCCAGTGCTGCCTTGTCACTAAAGTTTAATTTGGCTGAGACCAAATTAACAAATTTTGTCAATTGTGTGCAAATACAGGGTGCTTTCGCTCCCAGAGGTTTGTTTCGAAACCAGTCTCATTTGCCCAGTAAGCGCGGTTCGTCTAGCATGTGAATCCGGCAATCACCCTCAGGTCCGCATCAAATTAATTTGTCTGAGATCGCCAGGATGAGGTGGCCTCGGTTCAATTGAGCAGATTGATTGTAGTGAAAAAACAAAACGATACAACGAACTAACAAACCAGGCTGTATCACAGTGTATGATGAATGTGTAATATCCACGTATGGCTATATGAAGAGAGAATGATGAGCAGGGCAGGATGTTATTTCTACCGGTAAATGTACATTTCATGTCCAATGCAAAAGTAAAAGCATGTTGAAATATTACAGAGGGCTCTTTGAAAAATTGACTGAATTTAATCTTACAATATGTTGTATTAGGCCTGCTCTTTTGTTCATTTCTGTACTGACACCTTGAAAGAAAGATCCACATTCTTCTGCTTCATGATCTGACTGTTGTGATGAGAAATGCACCCCTGCAGAAAAATGCATGCACCACCTTTATAGGCTTTAAGCTGCATTTTTAATCTACATTTTACAAAAAAATCAAAGGCCATAATTGATTAAAACACAGTCTTATGTGAATATTACGTTGATGCATCAAGTAAGAACAAGAAGTGAAATGCATTTTAGATCTAGGTTTACAAATAAAAGAAAAAAACTAAATATTGACTGTGCTATAGACTGATGTAATGAGCCTGTTTCTAAACTTAGGCATTTTCAACTACACCACACATTAAACAATTCACTTTAATTTATAATTAATAAATAGATTAATTCAATAGATATATTTTTACAATACTTGACAACTGAAATGAGGCCATGTATGAGAAAGTCTGACCGCTCTGATTTATATTTGGTGATGATGTCTTTGGGTGTCAAAATTAAAGTGCACATTTTTGCTTACAATATATATGTAGATTTTTTTCCAAGTTTAGTTTCACCAATTGTAAACAAATCGTTTTTAAATTGCCAGTTGTATTTAAAGAAAAGTTATGCTGAACAAAGTGTGTGTATACAATTATGTTTGGCTTTTGACACTAAGAAATAGCTATTAAATTTTTTTTGGGGTGGGGCCAGTGAAAATTTTGGCAGGGCAAGTAAAAATCTCACCACTGGCCTGATCGAGCCACTAGAAAAAAATCCTTAGCCTTGAACCCCGTGTGGTGTTTGTCTCACAGAACTTGTTCATTCATCTTGTCTAAAATCTTTCTTATTATCACAAACCCTTTGCTGACTATTGTAAAAGCCTGTAAACTCACTCTACTAACTCTAAATGTTTGAGTATTAACACTTTAATCACTTAATACTACTTCAGTACTTTACTAAATGTCTTGACTGGACTGTGAGAATAAAGTGTAATAATGTCTGATCTTCTAGAAACACAGGATCATATAAATGCTGCAGTGTAATCATGTGTGTGTAGAGATGATCTACCTGACAGCAGGTCGTGTGTTTTCACTCTTAAAATATATTCGTTCAGCCTTAGACCGGTCACTCTTCATAGACACACAGCTGGGCTCTGCTTCTGCTCTCTTCTGTTGAATTGAACTAAAACAGAGAAGATTAAAGTTCAGCGCTGCACACACTGCACAAACCTGATATTAATTATTCTTCATTTACAAAAACACTTAAATTAATTTCCTTTATATTTGAACAGAAACTGTCTGAATGTGGAAAATATCAGCAAACACAGATCAAGACTCATTTCTAGTAGAGAAAGCCCAGCAGAAATGCAGCACTATTAGAGCAGATTAGAGCTGAAACTAATCATCAAATCACTGAATAAAGTCCACAGTGTAGGTGTGGGAGGAGCTTAATCATTCAGGCTTGTCAATCATCATCACATGACTATATAAGCAGCAGTATAAACTGCACTGTGTCAGCTGACTGTTATTCCCGCCTCCAGCAGCTCCCCTTATCCTCCTCCTCATCACTCAGTCTTCAGAAGGTCACTCATTGGGGGTTTGTCTGCAGAGCTCCAGTCCAGACTTTGAGAACAGCAAGACAAGTTCATTTACCATCATCTATCATGACTGAATGAGCAGGAGAACTCGAGAAACATCAATTCTAGAAACCAAATGTGTTGATCAGCAGCATCTATGAGGCCAACACAACATGATGATGACTGCGCTTCAGTGAAAACAGACTCAGATCAGAGGAATGGCTGATCAGTACAGCACAGAAACAGCAGGGGAAAGTGTGCAGGAAAAGCCCTTTATGGCAGGAGATCGGGAACACTTTAGTTTAGCTCACAATTCATACTATTAACTACCGGCTTATTATCTGTGTATTGTGAACATATGAACTGCTCATTAGTAGTCATACAGTATGATCTTATTGTGGATCCCTAACCCTACCCAAAACCTAAACCCACCTTCTACCACACTCACTATTAATAAAGCGCTGATTGGTTTGTTAATACCATCAATTGTGGCCTGAAGTCTAAACCGGAGATCTTCAAGCACTATCCTGCAGAGCTCAGATACAACATCTAACATCTGAAACCCAACAGATCCACAACACTAATTACCTGATTCATTTATTATGAAAATACTAATCAGTTGCAGATATTAAAAAGATGATCTACCTGACAGCAGGTCCTGTGTTTTCACTCTTAAATTTTATTGGGTGATCCATAGACTTGTCACTCTTCATAGACACACAGCTGGGCTCTGCTTCTGCTCTCTTCTGATGAACTGAACTAAAACAGAGAAGATTAAAATTCAGTGCTGCACACACTCGAGTCAACACACCAGATTTACTTAACATTTCATCATTAAAACACTTTTAAACAGCACTTCATGATACTTTTTACGATGATTGTACAAAATCTTGCTGGCTGTGTGTGTTAAATATTCTGACAGATTAAAAACACAACTAACAGAGAGTAAATATAATATCCTGTAGAAAATAATCATATGAAATGTCAAGTGTAGGTCTAATACCTGCATCCTGTAAACAAATCCTGATCTCCAGAAGTGTGTGTGTCCTCCATGATGGACCTGAAGAATTTAGAAACTCTAGAAGAAACTGATGAACAATCACAGATCTCCAGTCATTGATCAGCCTTCATAATTCAGCTTAATGCAGGAATAGATCAGCAGCTGAGACACTCAAATCCAGATTGCTGTAAAGATCGTTTTATATTCACACATCAGACATTCTCCTTCAAAATATAATGTCAGAAAAGTATTATTTACAGATTCGCAATGGGGAAATCATATTAGCGGCCAATGACTATCAAAGTACATCTATGTTCACTGTGAATTAAATAGTGTTAATGTTGTTTTAAAGTCGTACTTTACACGTGATTTTAGTCTGAATATTCTAAGTACCACAGTAAACAGTGTACGGAGCTTTCACTGAACGAATGTGCCTATATAAAACCAACTTTACCTCAATTAAATCCAGAAGCTCATCACGAGTAAACTAATGAAGAATCACAGCGTCATCCGTTTGATTATAATAACATCATACACACATTCACATAAAGCTTACAGGTTTTGTCAAGACATCAAAGATTTAAACCTGTTCTGCGTTGTAAATGGTGGATTCTGTCTGTTTAAAATGGCGACACAGCAACTAACCACTTTCACTTTCGTTTCTGAAGGAGCGGCAGATCATGAGTTCAGTGAAAAACACCCGTCACAAACACCCTAAACAGAGCAGAGAAGAGTCAAACAGCTGCATGGTTATCAAAGCACCTGCGGAGTTACATTTCACTAGGGGGATTTTACCCGAAGCAGTATAAACACTGGACACAGAGAAGACAGAATAAACACATACCTGGATAACCTCCTCCTCCTCCTCTTCTTTTTTTTCTTGTGTGGCGAGTTACAGAGAGCAGCGTAAAGCTGAATACCGCCACCTGCTGTACGGGAGTGGGTATAATAATGTGTACAGTTTGATCAAATCAGTGTCATAGAGCTCAATGTAGATTTGTAAAAAAAATAAAAATGTATATTTTATTTTTTGTATATTTTATACAATGTTATTTTATATAATGTATATATATATATTTTTTTTTTATTTAAAAAATATTTCCCATATATACTCTAATCTTTAGAGTCTAATCACAAGTCTAGCACAGCTTGTGTTATATTACTTTAACTGAGCTGAGGATATTTGACTTACAGTATTCCCATTGAACAGGGGTGTCCAAAATTCGGCCCGTGGGCCATCTGCGGCCAGCAATCAGTTTTGTGGCGGCCCGCGAGGATTTTTATAAATATTAATAGAATCTGGCCTGCTATACAAAAATAGACGTAATTCAATAAATAACCACCGGGTGTCGCTATTACATGCCTTCAATTAGGCATTACTTCTTGTTATGAAGTAAAACTAACCGACCAAATTGAAGGAAACATAATTGATAATCACATTTTGGCGAGTCATGGCGCACCAAGAAAAAGGAAAATCAACAGTCAGTGCAAGAAGTTTCAGTCATGTTGGGGCAAAGAATTTTTCTTCACAGAGGTCAGCGGGAAATGTATCTGTTTAATTTGCCAGGAATCAGTTGCAGTAATGAAGGAATATAATATTAAAAGACATTATGAAACAAAGCATCAGGCCTTCAGCTCTTACACTGGTGCAGAATGAGATCAGAAAGTAAAACAATTAGCAGCGCCCTATCAGCTCAACAACAGCAGTTTTTTTGTGCTATTAAAGTGCAAGAAAATTCTACACTGCACTGCAAAAAATGTTTTTTATTTATTTATATTTTTTGTCTTGTTTCAAGTCCAAATATCTAAAAGATCTTAAATAAAGGAGAATTTTCTAATTTGTTTTGAGAAATAATATGCCAATATTAAGTGAGTTTTTCCTTAAAACAAGCTAAAATAATCTGCCAATGGGTTAAGCAAAATAATCTTGTTTTTTTCTTTTGACATAAGATTATTTTGCTTACCCCATTGGCAGATTAATTTGCTTGTTTTAAAGATAAAAAAAATTGCATATTAGGGAAAATATTAGCATTTTATTTCTCAAAACAAGACAATTTTTTTTTTTGAGAATTTTTAGATATTTGGACTCAAAACAAGACAACATAACATTTAAGTAAGAAAAGCATTTTTTGCTGTTTGGCTAGTTATGAGGTAGCTCAGCTAATCGCACAGCACAGGAAACCCTTCACTGAAGGAGAATTTATAAAGGATGAGTGTTGCAACTGTAATTTGCCCAGAGAAGATTCAAGTTTTTTAAAAACTTAAGTCTTTCTAGAAACACAGTTGGACGACCAAAATAAAATAATTTCTTAATAAAATCCATCCATCCATCCATCCATCCATATATATATATATATGCGTGTCTGTGTGATGTATGTAAAATTTGGCCCGGGACAACATTTTTTTTGCATCTGGCCCTCGGCCCAAAAAGTTTGGACACCCCTGCCATAGAAGATATCTGCTATTACAGTAGCCGCGTTTCCACTATCGCGCCTAAAGCGAGCGAGCCAAGGCCAGTGGCGTTTCTACTGTCACTTCCGGGGCCTAATCGGGCCAAAGCGGGGCTTTCTTGGGGCCAGCGGCCGGCCTTTTTCGGCCCGCCGAATACCTTGGGCCAAGGAGGGCCAGCCGGGGCTTCGGGGCGGAGTAAAAGGAGAGGCGGGCACAGTTTTCCGATCGCACACGAGTACATGCGCCAAACACATAAACAAACAAATAAATAAGAGAAAGAAAACATCTGGAACAAATTATAGGCTGGGGTCTTTTTTGCATATGATCGCCCTTATGTTTCTCTTTTAAATGTAAGGTTGTTGCATAAAATGATAGTTTTAATAAGTCACTTTTCTTTGCTGCATCTCTTTGATGTTTCAATAACGCATACTAATCTTTACACCATATTAAAGACACAGCAGACAGTAAAGGTTTTCAAGAGGTTTTGTCAAGTTTAATAAGTGTCTTTGCGCGTTTAGATGCCTGTGCTTGTGTGAGACCGAGGAAAAGAGCGCTCCATTCATAGCTCTGTTGATGCCGCGAGCGGCTTTTTTCTTTTATTTTTATTGTTTTAATTTATTTTGGAGATAATACACTATATGAATACAACAGAAAGACATTAAACTTTACAAATTTCATGTCCGCTTTTGTAGGCTCAAAACAATAGTGTCATATCTAGATAAAATAGCCTAAGCTATATTGAAATAATTTAACGAATTACAAATATCAGATAGGCCTATAATAAAATCAAATTAAATAAATAAACCAATATAAAACTAACAAAAGCTATAGCTATAACAATTAGGTACTATATCAAACTGTTTCAAATTTATATTTAACTTTCATTTTTCAAAAGCCTCTTTGAAAAAAAGATTTTCTAAAAATAAATAAATAAATAAACACCGGAAAATGTTTTAAATATTATTTATAAAGTATTTGGATACGATGATATTAATCAAATCCTGCAAACAGAGCATTTTCGGGGTGAGTGAACGCAGAAACTAGACAACCTTTTTTTCTGTCTTCCAGCTGCGCAGCACTTTTTTGACGGGGAAAACTGCAAGTTCAAAATGTGTTCTGTGTCCTCAAACAAGTGTGTGTGTTTTTATATAACATGCTAAAATTAAAAAAGGAAATATAAAATACATAAAGAGCTTTATTAGTGCATTGCTGCTGAGCGCAACGAAATATAGGCAATATTTTATTACGTGCTGCTCTTATGTGCTGAAACACTGAACACTTTCCTTTACTTAAGATATAATAAGCAACATCTTTAAATAAAGGGAATCACCTATTAAGTGTCGTAAAGCCTATAGGGAAAAATAATCATGTTTCAGTTCTCTCCGGAGCATTTGGGATGAATGTTGGACAGATTCTGTCTAGATGATGTTATAAAATACATTTTATATCGAGTTATTAACGGAGAATTTTATATAGGTGGTGTTATATTATGGATGTGTGCGCTCCCTGTGCTAGGTCCCTCCGTTGGTGGCAAGACCACTGGATTTCGATGCCAGTCGGTCGGCGAGTAAATGAATATGATGAATGAAAACACACAGGCATGTGCGTATAGACATGCGTTGTACTGCTGTACAATAACGTGTCATTTGTTTGTTTTGGTTGTCCTATTTTAATAGTTTCGTGATGATGTGATGGTGTGCTTTATCTGCATGATTCTCGCTGAAGTGGGCGGTTTGAGTGACGTTCGATTCGGGGGATGTTCTGGGGGCGGGGTTTGCTGACGCGCTGCAAGCTACTAGCCCCACAGTGGAAACGCGACATGATTTCGGCCTCACTGCTCAACCTTCCGGGCGATTGGCCCAGCCTGGCCCGATATAAGCCCTGGCTCGCACTGGCCTGATAGTGGAAATGCGGCTAGTGATGGTGTTGGCTTAGTACTTTCCATTTGCATATGTCACGTTGATCACAATTCCCCTTTTTTCGATCAACTTTATGGGTTTAAAGTTGTTTCTAGAAGTTGTTGCTAGTTCTCACAGATAGTATTTGAGTTAGAATTACATCATTATTATAATAATTACCAGGACTATTTTAAACAGGGTTTCCGCTGGGTCTTAAAATGTTGTAAATTCCAAAATCTAAATTTCTGGCTTTAAAAAGTCCTAAATTTACTGAAATATTGTTTTGTAGGTCCTAAATTTTTTTAAACAAGTCTTCATTTTCCTTTGTTCATGTTCTTTGTTCCTTTGTTTCCTTTGTTCAATCACCAACAATCCATCTCAATACAACTTTCCACTTTATATTCAAAAAGGTCATTTAAACTCCATTTATCATAATGGTTTAATTATTTACTAATGCACTATGCACTAATTTGAAATCTGCTGAATGAAATGGACACTAAAGTAATTAATTATTATAAAACATTGTGCAGTATTCTAAACTATATGATGTTGCTGTGGGACGACATGAGGGGGAAAAAAAATTATAGTGGAACAATAACATTTAGCATTGCACTGACTTCAAGTGGCCAACAAACTAGTCTAAAAATGACTTTTGCTAATTAAGAAATGGATTACAGCATGCTGATGATATGCAAAAAATTGTTAACCCAGGGTCATTCTAACTCTGGGTCATTCTAAGGGTGCTTTCACACCTACACTTTTGTTTCGGAACTTATCTCGTTTGCCCAGTTAGCGCGGTTCGATTGGCATATGTGAACAGGGCAATCGCGCTCTGTTCCGCGCCAAAGTAATCGCTCCGAGATCACTTGAATGAGGTGGT